TTTTCCTTAAATTAAAGGGCTGGTACCAAGCTGGAATGAGTGTGCTAACACTTTAGAGGGCTTTGAAGTTTTCAAACACATATCTCTTAGAGAGTTTTATCCTTACACTTTCTGATGATGTGATCAGGGCATCTCTTCTGGCTGAGACAGGAAACCAAGGCACACAGCACATCAATGACAGCACTTTGCAAAACGCACCTGCTCATTAGTGCCTGTTCAATTACCCAAACACCTCAGGCAAAAGGACACATTTACGCTTAACTGGTCACCAACCACCTAATGAGAGTGAGTGACTCATTCCCTGCTCTCTGGTTGTGACAGGTCCGAAGGGGAGGTGAGGGTGGGGGAAGGCGTGCTAGACAACTGGGCACCGTGAAGAAGGAAAAGTGGAAAGAGGAAGCTGGGGAAAGGGAACGCAAACCAGCCCTGGTGAATTTTTAATGCTCAGAAGGCCTCATGGGAGTTCCTGGGCAAAGGACTATTAAAATGAGTAATGAGAGAAAACTAGCCAATTTTATGAAAGTATTTAATGAAAATAGACATAAATAATAGGTATTTAAGATTTTTTTCTCTGAGAAAGAACATTAAACTCCAGCTGAGCTGCAGAAATGTTTGCTGTTGGTGAACTTTGGGTTTATGGCCAGTAATGAGCATACTGATAAAGTCTATTCACACATTATTTCCTCCTCAGGGCTCACGGGTCTGGAAATACACGGTATTGTGCATCATAGTTCATTTATTCCTGTATGAATATTCCATAACTGGTTTCTATTACTGTGTGAATAAACCACAATGTACTTATCCATTGTATTGTTGATGGACGTTTGGGTTGTGTCTAGTTTGGGGCCAGCACAAATAACGTTGCTAGAAACATTCTTGCACACGACTGTTCATGCTCACTGCATGCGTCTCCTTTGCGGCTTAGTGATCCTAAGGTCATGAAGATGACCTCTCCTATCCTAGTTTCCAGAAGTTTCATTTTACCTTTTACACTTAGATCTACAATTAACCTGGAATGCATATTTGCATGTGACATGTCCTAGGGGCTCAACTTCCTTTTTTCTTTTTCCAATATGTATATACAGTTGACCCTGTACCACTCACTGGGGGAAAAAAAAGTCCTGTCCCCTTGCTCGGAAATAAATAAGCTGAGCACACATGTATAGTTTTGTTTCTGGACTCTCCAATCTGTTCCATCGTCTGTCTTCATCCTCACACTTTGTTCATCTTTCGCAATAATTTTTAGGTTATTCTTGACCCTCAGAACTTCCACTTACATTTTAAGGTCCTGAGGTTACCCATCCTTGGATGCCAGCACCTGACCCGGCGCCTGGCGCATAGTAGGAACTCAGTGAATCGCTGTTGTATGAATGGGGGTACCTAGGGACCCTTCCAGAGATGATGGGAAGGACCCAG